CTCATTTCCGCGTCGGCTTGTTTTGCCTAGGCGGTTGAGCACGTCCTCGACCGCCCGACCCCGCACACAACCCCCACCAACCTCATTGCAAGATATGCCCAATCTGATTTCATTACTACCCTACTACATGCGCACGCTATCCCCTCGCACAGTCTCCTATCCACAGCTGCAGTATTCCGGAATCCGAGTTCCGCCGGCTCAGGCCCAAGTTGTTGGCCCTGTGTCGCTTCGATGCTGCTGACTCCCCTGCCCCGGGCCCATCTCCGACCCCCACTCCCCACCATCTCCACCCACAATCACCATACTCACACCACACATACCCACTTTCCGTGCAAACATATCCACCCACTTCTTGCCCGCCGATATTCACATCAGCCGACGCCATCCCGTCAACAGCATCGCTGCCGACCGCCTGCTGCTCGCCGCCGACCGCCGCCCGCCGCCGACCGGCCACCGCCAGCACCACCGAAAGCAAGCTAGCCATCGACAGGACATTGGAGACTATGCATACGGATAGCTACATCATTAGCAATGACTTCCAGTCTGCTCTCCAACCCAATCCTCCCCTCCCTCCTCTGGCCTTGCCCATCACAGCCCCCGCCGGCCTGCTCATTGCCAGCCGCCCCTGCTGCCGATCACCGAGCCAGACGACGAGGCCTGTGGGCTGGCCATGGCGAGGAAGAACAAGAGAGGGCAAGGGCAAGCGATTGGGAATGCAGTGGCGGGCTGAAGTGCAGTGGTCTGCCTCGTCTTCCAATCCCAAGCCCTCGTCTCCATCGACGTCCATCTCAGTCCAATCCATCCCGCCGTCCTCCCCCTGCCGCCCAAGTACCTGCCTCCCTCATCTCTCACACCCCACACACACCCATCATCCTCATCGCACCCACCAACATCAATCCTCCACCGCAATCTCCATACCCACTTCCCCCTTCGCCCGCCGCGCCACACACGTCACGACCCCCCTCATCCCCCCTACCATACTCATTACGCCCCATCACCCCCAACCACCACCCCCACCCCCTACTCCACCACCACCACTCGCATTCCAGCGACAACCCCACCCACAGGTCATGGCCATGCCCACCACCATCCCATCGCGCACACCGCTTCCTCTTTCTCCTCCTCCTCCTCCTCTCCTCGCTCTACCTCACCCCCATCCTCTCCCCCGACTCCGACACCCACACCCCTCAATCATCACATGCCATACTGCCCATCCACTCACCAACAGTATTCTCAAGCCTCCGAGCCCCGACCCAGCCCCCTCAGCTGCCCCTGCCTCGCCGACCACCAGCCGCAAGCCGTCGCCCGCTCGCCCTAACAGCCGACCCTCATCACCACCTAGCTCCCACCCACCATCAGCTACGCAACCCGCGACCATACTCCCGGTCATCACTCACCCCACACTAGCACCAGTACCAATATCGCTGTCATGCATACCCATCTTCCCTGGCTCACTTTCGCGGTCGAAGTTGTTGGCCTGGTGTCCCCTCCCGTGGCTGCTGCTCACCCCTCTTACCGGGCCCATCTCCGACCCCCCACTCCCTACCATCCCCACCCACAACCACCACACCCACACTACACATACCTCACAATCTCACCCACCCAATCCTCGCGCGCCAATACCTACATCAGCCGACACCATCCCATCATCAGCATCGCTTCTGGCCGTCTGCTGCTCACCACCGATCGCCCGAGCCGCGTGTGTTGTTGGAGCTCATGGCTTCAGTCAGGTATTGTCCTGCCTTTGCCTGCGGCCAGTCTCGCCCACTTTTTGCACGGCCATGTCGCCGCTGATCCGACTCATGCGCACGAGAAGCAAACCTCATCGTCGCACACCTCACCACCCGTCTCGCATCCCTCGCCTCCGCCTCCATGGGCAATCTCGACCCCGAGGAGCACATGCTGGCCACCATGGGCCTCGGCTGGATTGCCCTTCCCTGTTGGTATGCCCTTGCCCTCCTCGTCGTTCCTCTTCCTGCCTCCACCCCTCTGCCTCTCTGTCTGAGGTCAGCAACTCACCGGCCACACACACCCTCCTGCATGTAGCGCATCCGCCCTTCTTGCTTGCACCTTTGTTCATCTGGTATTTGACTCGCTAGTGCTGGATGACCAGTTTACGCAGGCCTCGGCCGACATTGTCTCGTTCTTCTATGCCCATGTAATGGCCTCGCTTAGCTACCTCGGCCTCTTGCTCCTGCTCTACTTCGCTCTCGTCGTCGGCTCGCTGTTCAAGGCGCTCGTCATTCCCACACGCATCAACTACGTGGCCCTTGCTCTCCTTGCGCTTCCGCTCTCACGAATGTATGCGCTAGGCTCACAGGTTGCGCTTCTCGGCAACTCGCAGACCATGCCTGTCTCGTTGGCCGACCAGGCCTCGGCTGCCCGCAGCGTCATGTACGAGCACGCCGCTGTCGCCGTAACCCTCATTGCCTATCTTGCCCTCCAGGTAGCTTCACTTGCTAACGACGGTCGTCTCCGTATGGACTGGAACGTTGCTGGTTACCGTGTCCTCGTCAAGCAGATGCGCCGCTACATCCAAACAAGCATTCCGCGGCCCATCGCAACTGCCAGCAGCGGCCACCCCAAGCACGACTGATCGTGCTCGCGTCAGGACGACTCACTCGAGCTTCGCGAACTGTTCTCCGCTGACGATGACCGTGAGCACGAGAGCACCAGCGACGAACTGTACCGTTTGGCGCTCTTCGAGCTCGAGCTCGAGTTGCGTGTCACCGTCGAGTCGGACGACGAGCTCGAGCTCGAGCTCGAACTCGCGCTTGACAGCACCACCCCTGTGCCCGGCCGTCCCGTCGACGCAACCGCTTCACCATGCGACTGTTGCGCCGCAGCCAGTGAGCCGCCGGTCCGCAACGGTGATGACATCGCCACCCCGCGTCGCTGCCTGCCCGTGTCGCTGTGGCCCTGTCTGCGCCGTCGCCGCGTGTTGCGGCGGACGGCCCAGTGCCCGTCGCCGGGATCTCCGTTCTCGGCGCGCATTCGCTGACTTAGCGCCGAGTTGACCACCGCGCGTCGCGCGAGTGACTTGCGTGTCTTGCGCGTGTTTTGAAGCTCCAGCGCTCTCAGCGGCGACTGAAAAATCGGAAGCGTCGCCCGGTCCAATGTCGGTGTCAGTGACGGATCCAGGGACCGCCGCCGCTTGCGTGACAGCACTGGCATTGCGTTCTCAGCCGCCGTCCGCAAGAATGGCTCCAGATCCTGCCCGTGTGGCAGTCCAAGGTTGTGGAGCACAATCGCCGCCGGCACTACAGTCGCCGCATGCCGGCTCGCCGCAAGCAAGTGCGTCACGCCCGACGCATTAAACCGCCGCTTGCCAGTCGTCTCGGCCACAAGGTTGCCCACCAGCATGAGCGGCAAGATCTTGTCTTTGGTCCGCCGCGCCGTCGCCAGCCCGCGGCTCGCGATCTCCACAAGCCCAAGCTCGATGAGTAGTCCGCGCTGCGCGCCGGTGCCCCACCCCGCAAGCATCGCCAGCGCCATGTACGCCACCCGCGCAAGCTCGCGGTGCCGAACCTCTTTGCTGAGCGAGCCAGTGCTTGTGATAGGCGCCACAGCTAGCGGGTGGCTGTGCTTCTGCTGCGTCGCCACAACAAGGACAGCCACAATGTCCAGAATGAGCGTTGCGTCCTGACATGCCACTTCGCGGCCGATGTCAAGCTGGAGCACAAGCGTGAGAATCTTCAGCGTCTCCATCGCCACCCCCAGCGCCATCCGTGGGTGCATGGGGTCCGCGTCCACCCGCGGCATATATTCTGGTGACGAGACTATCCCCGACGCCAGCCAACCGCCATCGCTTCCGCTCATTGCGCCGCTGCCCGATGTCGTCGCCCCGCCCATTTTCAGCAGCAGCTCCGCCGAAGACTTGTAGTACCCCCGACCCGACGTGTCGAGGTCACCGTTGACGCTCGCTGTCCGCGCAGCCTCCAGCACAAGAATCGCCGTTGCCCGCCGCAGCAGTGTCGCCACCAGCGACATGTATCCCTGCTGCACAAACTGCGTTCGCCCCGGTCCATGCGAGAGAAGGTTGGACATCGCCCGACAGCCTTCAAGCTGGAGGGCTGGTGTCTGAGCAGACGCAGACACCACATACGTCGCAATGACCGCCACCGCGGATGCTCCGTTGAACGCCCGTGCGTGAAGCGGTGAAACAGCAAAGTCAGCAATGATTCGCGTCGCCTTGAACAGCAACGCCACGTCGCCGGTAAGGCATAGATGCAGCAGGGACGAGACAAGCGGCGACGAGAACAGAAACTCGCGGTAGAGCGGGACCGACGAGTACTGCATGAGCTTTTCCAGCTGCTCTGCGTTGTTGTTGGTCAGCTCGTCTGCGCCCACCATGCTCGTCGAAATCACTTCTTCGAGCACCACCAGCCGTGACTCACCAGCCCGCCACAGCAACGTGTACAAGCTCGGTGGCACCGCCGCCATAAGCGCTGCGCTCACACCAGTCACCACATACATGGTGCGGCTGTTGACCAGCTCTTGCACAAACGCGCCCAGCCCAGCCATTGCGCACACTGCAAGCACTACAGTCCGCCCGTGCGTCAGCAGCGAGTGTGGCACAACGTCTGCAACAGCCGGCACGTATATGTGGAGCCACACGCCTGCTGTGCTCAGCGTCACCACTGCCCACGCCAGTAGGTGGAACGACCCGATCTCGTACACTTGTAGAATAAGGACGCACAACCGTGCCATTGTGTACAGAACCCACATCCGCGGATGCGCCAGCAGCCCACGGATCGCCAGCGTCGCCGACGACGCAAACCACAATGCAAGGGATATGTGCATGCCAGCCGCGAGTATACACCCGACAGCTACTAGAACATGAACGTTGGTGTCCCAGCACGTCAGCTGCGGTGCCCGCTTGAGCACAGACACGGCTTTTCCGCCCAAAAACGCGTCGTCGCCGTCGAAACACACCGTCAGATTGAGGTAAACTCGCAAGATCGGTAACAACGCTGCGTCAAGGACCACAAAACTAATCACACGCAACGCAAGGGCATGCACACGCGCACTTGCGTTGCTTGTTGCGCTTGAGACCCACGAAGACGGCCCGCACATTGTGTCACGCGCCTCGAGGTCCACCATCAGCACCTCGTCGTCTGCGTACGCGTATGCATCCATGTCATTGCCGCTGTTGTTGGCCTCATACAGTGCCTCCAGCACCAACGTCGACGGAAGCGCCATTTCTGGTCGCGCCTGCTGTCCATGCGGGCCGTCAGACGGCTCAGACGCCTCCACAATGCCGCTGTGCGATCCGCGCCGCTGGCTCTCGTCCGGCTCTGTCTGAAGCTGCTCCTGGAAATCCGATCCAAACAACATCGCCCCACTTGTCGCCTGCGGTGGCGACTCATTGGGTTCGAGCGCGCTCACTGGTGCGGCTGCAGCAAAAGACGTCGCAGGCTTCTTCCGCCATCCGCATCGCTTCATCGCCACGCCGAGCGGCTTCCCATACCAGAACAGCACTAACATCGCCGTAGAAACCTCTACACTCAGCGTCAGCAAAAGGATCTGAACCAGCGGAACGTGCAGCGCTTGCGACCATGGCACTTGCTTCAGTGCAAGGACCGGGGCGGGAGCTGTCAGCGGATTGCCGCCAAACGACCGAAGCTCCACATTCCATTTGTCTCGCCGATGCACAACAGAGCCGAGTGGATCCAGCCCCAGCCCCAGCCATGCTATCGTGTCCACCACGCCCCATGGCCACGACGACGCGTCGCAGAACACTAGCTGCACCAACTGCATCGCCTCCACCACAAACATTGCGCCCACGAGCGCCCGTGGCACATCAAAGAGCAGGCCGTTCCGTAGTCTTCCCCACCGCGACACTGGCACCACTGCGGACCGCAGCCGCAAGTTCCCGCCGTGGCTGCCGTCAATCAACTCGCTCACCGCCGTCGGCAGTGACGACTCGTACAGCGAGATGTAGCACGACGCGTTGTCAGCTTCCGCCTCCGCAAGCCGCGTCGTCACTACCTTGCGTCCTGTCCCGGCTACACCAGCCGTCAGTGTTGACGTTGGATGCAGCGAGGCCGCAGAGCTCTTGCCTGTCAGCGGCGACCGCGGTGACGCCGGCGCGGTCCCGAGCCCGCTCCGTCCGTGCCGGCCCACCCCGCTGCTCATGCCGCCACCCACTCCAACAATACGCCCAGCACTACTCGGCCCGGCCGCCGCTCCACCACCCTCTTCATCGTCGTCATTCCCTTCGTCACTATTGTTCTCGTCGCCACCCTCGGCAGGTTGAGGCGGAATCGTGCCCGCGAGCGGAAAGAGCACCGGCGAGAACCGCAGCGTGTACGTCGAGTATGTCGCGAGGTAAAGACCCACCCCTATACTCAAAAAGGTGAGCGTCACTGTCCTCGCACCACCACATGAGTCTCTATCATCATTGTCTGCCTCTGTTCTCGCACCGCCCCCGCACTCGCGCCCTACTCGGCCGCCTGTACCGACCGCGCCCGCACGCCGCGTCCACCATGGCCGTCCCTGCCCAACGCCCGCCACCCACCCGCACCCACGTCTACCAGCACCACCGCCACCACTGTCAAAGAGATTCACATGCACACACACACGCACACATATATCTCCATGCTTCTCTCCACTCCTCCACTCCGTCCCCTTCCCCAGAACCAGCCTCTGTGCTACACCCGTGCCTGCCTACCCGCTCCCTCCCCGCAGTGCCAACCTACCAGCAATGACCAATGAAAAGCCGCTGAGGGCCAACATGCGGTCAACACGCCGAGACAACTGCCAAGTGCCAAGGACAAGACAGACTCGCTCAGCCACTTTCGGCTTTGCACTTCTTTACTTGCGCGCCGCAGACGCCAGCATCCGAATCCGGGCCCAGTTAAAGCCACCACCAGCGCCCGAGCTGTGTGAGCTGCGCGAGCCGAACGAAACATGTGCCCGAGAGCCGCGCCGCCCACCACCGCCGCGTCCGACGCCGCCGCCGCTGCTTCCACGGTGACCATCGTGTTCATCGGACATCGACATCGATGCGTCGATGATGTCATCCGTCGACGAGTACGAGACGTCTGCGTCGACTTGCTCGATCGGGAGCCGGTGCAGCTGATCCGCGCCGTCCTCCACCCGCTTGAGCGATGTGTTGCGCGCCTTGCTATCCGCCAACGCTGCGAGCGAAAACGCAATGTGCGATCGCCCTCTCGAGCTGCTACCCAGTCCGCGTGCCCTCGACTGCGCCGCCGACGCTGCTGGTGTGGCGCTGATGTTGCTCGCCGGTAACTTGCCCATCGCCGCCGCCCACGCCCTATCGGCCGTGCTGACGCCGGCGCCGCTCTCGCCATCACCGCGCCGCCGCACCAACTGCTGCGACGAGTCGCCGATCGAGCTGACCGAGGTCGTTGGATGCTGCGGCAACATCCGCGCTCCACGCAAAGCCGCTCCCCCGCCGCTACCTTCGCTTATCTCGTCGACAGTCGTCAGCGTAGGCTCAGACGACGATGCGCCGAGCCCAGCTGACCGCCCACGCAGCCACCGGAGCTTGGACGCTGCCCGGAGAAGCATGCCCACCCGCTTGACCTTGCGCAGTCGGTTGTGCCGGATTACAACATGGCGGTACTTGACCCAGTAGTACGAGATGATTTGGCATGCAAAGTAGTGCGCCATCGTAATGTGTGCGTCCTCGTGGGTGAGCGGTAGCTTGCGCGCCCGTAGGTACGCACGCTTGCGGTACTTGGAGTGCAGCAGCAGCCGCGCCCGGAACATCTCGTCCTCCGCCACCTCGTCGTCCGTTCCAGTCGGCTTGACCGCATCGGCACAGTGCGTAAGGAACCCGTCTTGGTGCTCAACTGCGTACCGAATGACCGCCTCAAACGTGTTGCGGTAGTCGACAGACGGCGGCGCAGTCTTGAATGCATCGTAACGGAACCGACCAAACAGCGTCCGCGTTGCAGGGTACAAATTGACCTTGATGTCCATCGCCTGCAAGTGACGCAGCACCCGCACATCAGGCATGTTCGGCACCCACCCGAGCGGCGGCTTGAGCGAGAACATTAGCTGCAGGAAGCCGGCTGGCGAAATCCGCCCGCGCGGCTCAGGGTCAAGCACCATCCACAGCCGCCGGAAAGACTCGACAGACTCGAGCATGACCGCGTCGAGACACTCGGACATGGCATGGTAGTGCTCCAAAACCACAGCAATAAACAGGTTGAGCAGAATCCAAGACGAGATCACAATGAGCGACACAAAATACGCTGGCGCGTAGACAGATCCGCACGTGTCCGGATTCGCGCTGCTGCAGAACGGCGGCTGCACCTCGGCGTGCCGCATCACCGCGCCCCACGAGTCTACCGTCGCAATGCGGTACACCGTCAGGCACGCGTTGCCAAACGTGGCAAAGTTGGCGTGGGGGCCAAAGCCGGGCCCAGCTTGCCCGTACGGCGCAGTAACAACCTGGCCCCACAGCGACCGGCCCATCAGCGCGTACACAAACAGCACAAGCACAAGTAGGCCGGCCACGTTGGCAATAGCCACAAGCGCGTGTCGGAATGTGGACAGGATCGACGCAAGCAGCGGCACAATCTGGAAAAACCGCAGTAGCTGCAGCGAGCCAATCAGGTTGATCAGCGAGTCGTCTGCAAGGTCAGGCCGGAAGACAGAGATGACCGACATGATGACGAGGAAAACTCGAACCGGTGCCAGCCGTCGAGCAAGTAGTGGTTGAGACCCGACGCTGCCATGTGCAGGCCAGCCTCGACGCAGAAAAACGCCACGAAAAAGTACGAGATGCCAGACTGGAAGCTGCGGAGCTCGTCCGGCGCGTCAGCGTAGAACGAGGCAAGCACCACGCCGTTGAGCGCCAGCGCGCCCATGACCAACTTGGAAAAGTTCCGATGCTTGACAATGATGTACGCCACAGCCCGGACAGGATGGTCCGGGAGGACAAAGGCCTCATATGGCGGCGTGGCCGAGATGATTCGCTGGATCGTAAGCCATTCGCGCTGCGAGTCGGTGAGGAACGCGTGTCCAGAAATCTCGTCACGGAGCCGGTCAAAGTTCTCAATGACCACAGCCACCACAAGATTAACCACAAGCATCGAGCCAATGACAATAAACACCACAAAGTACAGCGCCGCCGCAGGCTGGGACCGTGGCTGTGGCTGCAAGTCGGGGCCCACAATGTCTATCGTCGGCAGCATGATGTCTACCCAGCCGACCATGACCGAGCACTCAAAGAGCGAGAGCATGGCGTCGGGCACAGAGTCAAACGTCGACACTGCGTTGCTCCACGTCCGCGCTACTGTCTGGTTCGTTGCTGCGTCCACAAAGCTGCCCACGCACTCACCGCGCCAGGTCACACTCGCATCATTACACGAGTACAGCCGGCCCTTGAAGAGTGCAACGCCCACAATGGCAAAGACTGCCCAGAACACAAGCGCCACCGCCACAACCGATGCAATCGCTCGCGACGCCGCCAGCAACGCATACACCGTGGTTCGCAGCGGCGCTAGCCGCGAGACTAGCCGCAGCGGCCGGAGCGCACGTAGCGCCCACGACCAAGGCAGCGCCGGCCCTGCCGCGTGCGCCACCAGCGAAGTCAGCACAATAAACAGGTCGAGGCAGTTCCATCCGTTGCGCAAATACGCCGATCGGCTTGGATACCACAGCCCACGCACAATGATCTTGCCCACGGCTTCAAGGCCAAACACGAGGAGCACCACCGCCGCAGAGATGTTGCCAAGCAGCGTCGTCTTGCCAGCCTGTGCAGGATCGTCGACTGCAAGCACCGCCGCGTCCGCCACCGTCACCACAAGAATGAGCGGCGAGAACGCCTGGTGTGTCACCACCCACTGCGCAAAGCGCCGGACCCTTGACTCGGGACCGAATGCGCGCAACGTCGTCCCCACAAGCGGCTGGTCGTATGACCACGCTGAGATCCGCGCCTGGATGTGCCGCCGCCGTCGCCGCTTGGCGCTAGCCGCGTCCTCGGCCAGTAGCGCCGCAGACTTGGTCGTCCCAGCATCGGGCGCGTCAGCCTTGTCGATGTTGGCAAACTTTTCCAGAATGATAGCGAGAAAGAGCGAGAAAATAACGTACGAGCCGAGGACAATGAGCGAGGCGAAAAAGAAGAACCCGTACACGGCGTCCACCCGCATGCCCTCGTAGATGAGATCGGTCACAGAGTCGCCGGTGAAGGCCTGAAAAACGGCCAGGAACGCCCAGTACGCAGAATCAAACGAGGCCCGACCCGGCCCAGCAGAGTACGCGTGGCCAAAGAAACGCACGCCAGCGAGCGCGTAGACATACAGCAGGAGGAAAAGGAGCGAAATAAGATACGAGACCATCCGCCCCGGAAGCAAGACGCCCGTCACCACTCGCCGGAACGTGCCCCATGCCCGCGTCAGCTTGAACACCCGCAGCGGCCGCAGCATCCTCGCCCGCGGCATCCCGCTCCCAAACACAAGTACCGCTTCGAGCAACCCGAGCGCAAGTATGACTCCGTCCCACAAGCTCGACCAGCTCTTCAGGAACTTCGCCTTGGATGACGCTTGCGCCAGCCGCGCCGAGAACTCAATGCCGTAGAACCCCAGGCATGTGTATGAGGCCACATCCAAGAACACAAGGTACTCGTGCGACGCGGCGGCATGGTCCGTCAGCATTAGCACAAAGTCGACGAGAACAACAACACTCGAGATGACGTCCAGATACGAGACATCATCGATACTGGCAGTCGAGATATGGCTACCCGAGCCGTCGTCGTCTGCGTGGGTGCTCTCGCCGCCGCCACACTTGCCGCCACTCCCGCCGTTGCACATACTGCTAGTCCGCGTCTGCCCGGTCTCGTTCTCGATCATCACCGCCGGCACATCCAGCGACACCACCCCAAGCTCTACGTCGTCCAGCGCAACCGCAGCCTGGCCTGCGACTCCAGGCTCGGCCGAGCTGCTCTCGCTTGCCTTACGCAGCGGCCGCAGCCGTGAAATCTGCGGCGGTGGCGATGGCGCACGCCGCGTCTCCGGTGGCGAGTCGTTTGTCGACGTTGTGGTGATCGACTCGGTCACCGACGACACGCTCTCGTCGATTGCCCGGATGTTAGTCTCGGACACCAGCGAGTCGCTCAACACCTGGCCACCCGTCGAGCGAGTCGAGTACACGTACGAGCTGTACTCGTTGCTCGAAGTCGAGTCCGGGGGAAACGACGACGTCGACGACCAGCTCTGCTCCTCTTCCTCACCGTCGTAACACACGTCTGACGTCAAGGACTCGTGCGGATGGCCCATAGTCTCCATCGACTCTTCCTCCTGCTGCTCCTGGTCGTGAGAGGTGCCGTGCGGCGAGGCCGGGACCGAGAGCCGACCCGGCGACGTACCTGGCGACCGCCCGGGCGTCGCCGGCTTGCCGATCGGCGTCATCGCCGAAACGAGCTTCGACCCCGAGCCCGACCGCCACAAGTTGAGGTGTGAGAGCATGATGGCGTCGGCGTCGTCGACCACCAGCACCACCTCGTCGTTGTCGGTCAGCTCTTCGAGTGCTGCCGTGAGGTGGAAGGCCTCGTCGAGCACCGCCAGAATCATGTTGGTGGCGAGGAAGGCCGTGATAAAGGTGTAAGGCACAAAATAGACCCAGGCCCACGTCGACCATGCGTCCTGCAGCGCGTACATAATCGCTGACCATCCATCGAGCGTCGCCACGTTGAAGAGAACCACAAAGGCCGAGCCGAGGTGGTCGAACGAGACAAACCCCGAGTTGGGATTGGCGGCACTACCCACGTCCCTGCACACCAGCGGTGCGGGGCAGAGGTAGCCAGCCGTTGGGTCGATGCCGCACGGCCGCCTCGCCCGCAGTGTGGCCATGTCTGGCAGCGTGCCAGCAGCCAGTGCGCTCGGGTCGACGCACCGCCGCCGCAGCGCGCCGGACATGAGCTGCACGCCGACGATAGCGAACCAGCCGATGAGAAACGCGAAAAAGTAGCCGACGTCACGCAGCGCCGGCAGGGCCGAGACCAGCGACTGGACTACAATCCGCAGGCCCTGCATCCGCGAGACCGACTGCAGAGGACGGAGGGCACGGAGGACCCAGAACGGCGCAAAGATGTCGAGCCCATTGAATGAGAGCATAGATGTTACGCTGACAACCACGAGTAAAAAGTCGAGGCAGTTCCAGCCGGACCGCAGATATGCGTGCTTGTGGAGGACAAAGCCCATGGCGGTGATCTTGAGGCCAGCTTCGAGCGTGTAGACGGCGAGAAAGCCGAGATTGAGCCAGTTGAGCACCTGGTTGAGCGACGACGGCGACGAGTCGCTCGTCGACACGCTAGCTGTCCTGTTCTTGGCCCCGCCCACCGACGGAACATACAGAACCATCGAGAGCGAGTGGAGGACGACGACCGCGAACATGAACCGCTGGAACGGCCGCGAGTCGACCAGATCGATGGCATGCCGTCGCACGCTGTCATTCACCGTCCACATGCCCAGCGACCGCGACCGGTACACCACCCCGTCGGTAAAGTACTCGGAGACTCGCCGGGGATACGGCTCGGTCTCAGGCTCGACCCTGTGTCGCTCGAGGTGTCGTCGCATCTTCTCGCGGACCGACGACGGAGCGCCGCGGCGCAGGACAAGCGGCATATCGCTGCAGACCACACCACAACCACAACCAAGTCAAGCGCAACCTGTGCCTGTAACGTGCAACGATACGACCACACCTGCCTTCCTCGCTGCTCTTCTCCGCACGAGCCGACAACTGCGAGGTGGTGGAGTCGGTTGTGGCAGCCAATCAGTATTGCCCGCCAGCCCGTGCCTGCCTCGTGGCCTCGCAGCGGTACTTGGAAGTGAGACGGCCGCCGTTCATGGCTGAACATTTTCCCTCCGCAAACAGAGGAGGAAACTCGCAGCATCCTGGCCGAATCCGGCGGCCACCGGACAGCCGCCGAAACTGGCTCAACGCCCCTTGATCGCATGCCACACATCCATGCCGCCGCAAGTTGCAAGGCCATCTCAGACATGAGCACTATCGGAGCTCTAACCCTTGAAGATGCGAACCACCGTGCGCGCTTCAAGCAAGTTGGCCCTCGGCCACCCATCATCAGCAACATCCATGGTATCCATGATCACACGCATGATTGGGTGCCTGCCATGCACATGCAAGTCATGGCCGCTCCCCCGTGCTTCCCCCCTATCGCCAACTCGGCATATTTTGCTTCGGTTCCTGCCACGAACGCCACGTCGACTCGCTGACGTCGGCCCGCCAGCTACATCGCCGCCAGTCGACAGCCGGCCGGCCGTCAGTTGAGCAGTGCGCCGGCTGGGACAGCTCAGAGGCACCTCTCGCTACAGCGGCATACTGGCGACCCCATGGTCCGATTCGTCACGGAGCACTACGCCGGTAAAGGCGTGCTGCTCACGGGCGCAACGGGCTTCATTGGCAAGGTCATGCTCGAGAAGCTCCTTCGTGAAGTCCCGGACCTGGCCTCGATCGACGTCCTCATCCGCGGACGTGGAGCCAGCGCACCTGCTGCCGCCCGGCTGGAGACCGAAGTCCGCGACTCGCCTGCCTTTGACTTGCTTCGTGCCCTCTGGCCGCCACCGTATGGGCTGGACAGAGAGCTTGTGGCTCCGGCTAGAGCTGGTCTCGTTGCTCCGGATGTGGCCGCACACCTCACCGCTACCTACCCCTCCTTCAACGCTTACTTTGCCGCCAAAGTCCGGCCGCTCGCCGGCGATCTCACCCTCGATCGCCTGGGGCTAGACGACGCGACGGTGACGCGTCTCCTTGCCGACGTCCACGTTGTGCTCTCAGTCGCGGCTTCGGTTGCGTTTGACAACCCGCTGCCCGAGGCCATTGCGCTCAACATCCGCGGCCAGCTCGCCCTCTTTGACATCATGATGGCCTCGAACATCCTCGTCTCGTTCACACACATCTCAACCGCGTACGTTGGCTCCAACCGCGACGACGGGCTTGTTCCAGAGGGTGTACTTCCGCTCCCGGCGGGAATGGTCGCCGATCCAGAGGTCGAGTATGCTAACCTCATCGCCACCCCGCCCGACGAGCTCATTGCCCGCCAGGCCACCATCATCGGCAAGTATCCGAACACCTACACCTACACCAAAGCGCTGGCCGAGCGCCTGCTCCACGCGCGTCTTCTCGCCGCCGCCGCGCACCGCAACGTTCTCCTCGTCACCATCCGGCCCACCATTGTCGGTGCGGCCTACGCCGAGCCGTTCCCCGGCTGGGTCGACGCCGTCTCGGCCGGTGGCGCTCTCTACCTCTTTGCTGGTGTTGGCGTTCTCCAGTTTGGCAACGGTGATGCGAGCCTCATCGGCGACCAGATCCCGGTCGACTACGTCTCTAACTTTGTGCTCACCGCCGCGCCGACACTGCTCGCCACCGGCGCCGCGGTCGTACCCGCGACTGGCGCCGGCCATCCTGCGCAAGAGTTCATCTTTCACTCGGGCTCGTCGGCCCTCAACCCCGTGACGTGGAAGACCACCGGCGAGGCTGTCATCTCGTACTGGAACGAGAACGCGCCCGACGCCGGCTTCCGCCCCGCCGAGTTCCTCTTTCACTCACGGCTTGTCGCCGACTTTCGCCGCTTAGTCTCGTATGCCACCCCTGCCGCGATTGCCTCGCTCTATGCACACATCGTCCCGATCAAGGCCAACACCAAGGCTGCCTTGCAAGCGCGCGGACTATCCTCCCAGGCCTCGTTCCTCATCTCGGCTTTTCGCCGATTCATGACCCACGAGTGGATCTTCGACATGACTCACTCGGACGCGCTGCTTCTCGCCCCGCTGGCAGCCGCTGACACTGCGCAGACGTGGCGCGTCGACGTCCGCGACCTCCACTGGCCGACTTTTATATCTCAGTTTGCGTACGGCCTCCATCGGTTTGTGCTCGGCGAGCCGGTTCGCCTCGCCTCGCCACCTGCCTACCGCCCGCACTCGGTCCTTGACGAAGCCATCCTCTCAACCCGTGCCGGCCATGCGCTCGACACCGCGGCATGGGCCGCGTCGGCGCCGCTGTCCATCTCGCACGCCGGCGACGGCGTCCCCGTCTCGGCGTCGGACGTTCGCCACGTCGTCCTCGCCTCGCCGCGCCTCCGCGCCACTCTCCGCAGCCTCGCCTCGTCCAAAGCCCACTACCGCAAGCTCAAAGCTGCAGCCCGTGCCGAGCTCGATCGCATGGCGGCCGACATGGCGCCGTCGGCCATGCGATTTGCTGCCTGGCTCCTTCGCCTCCTCTGCACCCGGCTCTACGCCACGGTCTCGTTCAACTCCTGGGGCGCCGAAAAGGTCCTCGGCCTGGTCGCCTCATCGGCCGCGGACCTGGGTATTGTCTACGTCCCGAGCCACCGGTCGTACCTCGACTTTATCCTCCTCTCCTACCTGTGCTTCCAGCTTGGCCTCCCCGTCCCGCACGTGGCGGCGACTGGTGACTTCCTCTCGACGCCCATGATCTCAGGCCTAATGCGAGCTGCCGGTGCGTTCTTTATCCGGCGCTCCGGCAAAACGTCGGACCCAGTCTACCGCGCCGTTCTCGCCGAGTATATGGCGAGCGTCATCAACCACGGCGCCGCGCTCGAGTTCTTTGTCGAGGGCACCCGCTCACGGACCGGAAAATCGCTCCCGCCGCGCCTCGGCCTTCTGACCCAGCTTGCCCAACTGCAGGCCTGCGGCGCGCTCAACAGGTCGCTTGTCTTCGTCCCGGTCTCGATTGCCTTTGAACGACTCATCGAAGCTCCGCTCTACGGCCGCGAGCTGGATGGCCAGCCCAAGACGCCCGAGACGTTTCTGGGCGCCCTCGCCGGCGTCCGCGCCATCCTCAACAACGACTACGGCCGGGTGGCTGTTGAGTTTGGCGAGCCGCTCCACCTCGCTGACGCGCTGCCGCTCGGCGCCGAGTCGTGTGAGGACGAGCTTCGTGCCGGTGTCGCCGCATTTGCCACCCGCATCTCGCACCGGCTCGACGCTGGCATGACTCTCTTCCCGACACACCTCCTCGCCGCTTCGCTGTTGGCTGCCCCTGGGCCAGTCGCTGTCAACGACCTAGTCTCTGCCACCGACGCCCTTCGGGCCGCCGTCGAGCTGCGGACAGGCGCAAGCTTGCGGCGAGCCGACATGCTCCCGATTGTGGCGTCGGGCTCAATCACCCGGGCGGCTAAGCTACTCGCCCCGTTTGTGGTCTCGTGCGAAACCACCGCGCGGCTGGCACCGGCCGACCCGCAAGCGCGACTTGTCCTTGCCACCTACAAGAACTCGCTGCTCCGTGTATTCGCTCTGGACGCAGTTGTTGCTCTCGCGATGCGCGGTGGGCTGGTCCGGCGGGCGCTGGCAGCGCGGGCTGTCCGTCTTGCCGCCATCCTGGGTGCCGAGCTCCTCCTCGCCAATCACGTCCCGGCGCCGGAGAACCTCGCCGACGAGCACTGGCTCGACGACTACGTGGCAACCGAGTTTGTGGGCCTTGTGGCGCGGCTCGCCGTCTTTTCGCCGCTAACCCTGGGCTACATCGATGGCTCGCCCGGCCCGCTGCCGAGTGCCGAGCCGCTGGCCGCCCTCGTCGCCCCATCGCCGCTGGCTACTGCGCCATGGTCGGAGCCGTGCTGGCATTGGCCTCGCCGCACTCGGTCAACCCGGCAAAGGCCCGGACAGTTGGCAGTCGGGCAGCCGTCATGGACCGCGCCCGCGCGCTTGCAGCGCTTGGAGACCGCTACGAGTCGCGATCCACTGAGACGCTCAAGGCCGCCCTGGCATGGCTCATCAAGGCCGGTCTCGTAGTGCCTAGCATCCGCAAGTCTGGGCGCGAGGCGCTGAGCCTCGCGCGCGGCGCCCGCGACATCCTCGAAGATACACACGCTCTTCTCGCCGACTTGACCACTGCCCGTGGCGGCGCGGCGCAGCTCTCCAAGCTGTAGCTGATTAGCGGTTGCGGGCTGGCATGGCGCTGCACCCGCCGGACGAACCACAATCGCAGTAAAAGGTCGACGTCCGCGGTGGCGAGAGCTCATGGCCGGCGTGGCAGACCTCGGCGCACGCCGCACACACGCCGCACGAGTCAACCATGCCGCATGTCGCGCAGTTGTACCAGGCCTGGACCACAAACTGGCGACCAGTCGTTGCGAACGAGCACTGCAGTTGCGGCGTCGCCATCTGGCCCTCGCGCATGGCGATGATGTAGTTTGTGGCGGCCGTGACATCGCCGCCGACCGCCGCCACCGCTGCAGCAGCCTCGGACTCGGAAAAGCCCATGTCGACCAGCATCGCCACGCCCGAGGCACTCCCTGCGGCGGCAACTTGCTCGGCAGAGCTGGCCGCCGGCGGCGCCGCTGGCTCCGGCCCCGCCGATCGTCTCGGCCCCGCGTTGGCATCATCGAGCGGCGAAAGGAGGAGCATACGGATGGAGAGCAAGTTCTCGCAGCGAGTGCTCCCCACCGCAGCCTCGAGCGCGTCGCGCGTGAGGACCGTGTCGTCGGCGAGCGCCTTGCCGCCAAGCACAAGGACCATGCCGTCGAGAGGGACGCCAAACAGAGCGTGCATGTGCTCCTTGAGCGCCTCTATGGGCAGCGCGGTGAGGATCTCGAGCTCGAGCTCCACCACCTCTGTCTCGCGAAAGGCAAAGTGGACGTCAATCCGGCAGAGCGTCGGTGGCGTGGCCATGTCGGCCGAGGTCGAGTGTGCGGCAGTCGCTCAGCAGCTGGCCGGCTCGGCTGGCTGGAGCTGGAGCGAGCCGCGGCGAACTGCGACAGCGCGGGTGGGGGGTGGTCAATACAAATTTGGCGGGGTGGCGACCGTTGTCATCCTCCTCACCCCAGCACAATGGGCCAGCGACAGCCATGGTCATCGGTTTTCGAGCATCTAAAACAAGCTCAGCGGCTACCCACCTCGCCCGATGCCGTAATACCAGGGTTGGGTGGGCTCAGGTGCAGAGTGACTCGCGTGATGGGAGCGGCGCACACGTGAGCTTGGAGAGGCGCGTCGAGCAAAGCCACGTGTTCTCTCGTCATGAGCCGTGTGAGGGGCGCGGAGCAGCACTCGGCAACGTACTACTTCCTCATCGACTATGTGTTCCCCTCGCTGTGGTATGGGACCAACATAGCGATCATTTACATGTCGTTCAAGTACTTTGCCCTTGTCTTTGGCTCGCTCGGCCTTCTCCTCACCATCATCGCCGTCTCGGCCACGTACGTCCCATAGCTGCCCGACCCGAATTTGCGGCGAGCACATCCGCGCACATCCCACGCCTACCCCCGAGCGGACATGTTCCCCCCCTCTAGCGCGAGCTATACCTTGTGCATACCACCAGCAACAGCCTCAGTCACTTGAGCAAGTACCACACCTGCCTCATGGCGTGCTGGTGGTGATGGTCGATCCGTAGCGGGCGCAGACGAGGCAGGCGCCGTGGTGGTTACAATTTCCTTCCCGACTCCCTCCCTGCCCAACGCCAAACTCACAGCGACAGCGAGAAACGTTGGCATGCACGCATGGATGGATGGACGACGTATTGGGGGATGGATAACAGGGCGGGGCTGGGATGGCTTGTGGAGAGCGGAAATGTAGGTGCGGCTCTGATGGCGCCAGCGTTTGTCTGTGAGCCGGGCGACTGGGAGCGGTTGGCTGGCGGTGGCGGCGGCGGAGACGGACGGACCGGGAACAAGGCGTCGACCTCGCTGACGCGGAGCGAGTCAATGAGCGCATCGCTGGGCGATGACGACAGCCTGCCGGGCATTTCTGTCCTCAAGCCGCTCTGCGGCGTCGACTCGATGCTGGAGACGAACCTGGAAACGTTTTTCCAGCTCGAGTACCCAGAGGCCAAGTTTGAGCTTGTGTTCTCGGTGACTGAAGCGACGGATCCTGCCCTCGAGGTGGTGCGGAGCCTGATGGTCAAGTACCCCAAAGTACATGCGAGCATTGTGGTGGCAGACCCGCAAGTGGGGTACAATCCCAAGCTCAACAACCTCATCGTGCCGTTTGACCGTGCTGAGTTTGACCTCTGCCTCTGCTCAGACTCGAACGTGTACGCCGAGCCTGATCTGCTGACGCTGTTTGCGAGCGAGTTTGACGACGACGTCGGGTTTTTGCACCAGATGCCTGTGGTGAGCAAGCCCGGCTCGTGGGGCGCATGGCTTGAGTACACGTACGTCAACGCGACGATTCTCCCCATGTTCATTGTGGGCACGCTCACGCCTTTCCCGTGCGTGTGGGGCAAGTCATTTGCCATCCGGCGGTCGGACGTCAACTCGCCGCACATTGGCGGCCTCGCTTCGTTCGGCAACTGCATTGCCGAGGATCTGGCCATTTCGACGGCCATGCACGCCATGCGGCTGCGGGTCAAGCTGATGCGGCGGACGGTGGTGCAGCGGCTCGGCGTATGGTCGTTTACCCAGTTCTGGGAGCGGTCAACCCGGTGGCTCAAGTACCGCAAGGCCATGGGCGTGGTCATGGGCGGCTTTACCCTCGAGTGGGTCTTCTACGGGCCGGTCATTGCCCTCTTTGCCGGCCTCTCGTGGGCGTGGCTGATGGGCGGCTCGTTTGTGCTGCCGGCACTCAGTGCCTTTGCGCTCCTCGGCCTCCTCGCCTACGCCTTTGTCCGCCACATCGACAACACGCTGGCCGGCCCGCCGTCGCCGCTCCGGTTTGCCGCCTCGTGGATCGCCGTCCAGGCTCTTCTCATCCCCATGTGGATCACGGTTATGCTCTCGCGGCGCGACTTGCAGTGGCGCGGCAAGGCCATTACTCTCGCACCCAACTCGCATCTCCCGGTCAAGAAGGAGCGATAAACCTGAAATCGTGGCTGGCCTCGCGACCACCTTGGCTAGCCGGCCCGCCGCCTGCACAGCGCTCGATCATGCACGGAACGCCCACTCTCTGCGACACATCGGACAGTGGGCCGCCGACTGGGCCGCCTGCCTCGCCTGGACCCACTTGATGATGCAGTGCATGTGGAACGAGTGGTTACATTGACCCCAGACTATACTCCATGCCCATACCCGTACATGTACCCACGCTTGCATGTGTGAGTGTTTGCCCTTTCCCTTCCCTCCCTCCCTCCCTCCCTCCCTCCCTCCCTCCCCCCACCTCCCGCCTTGGCGCCAAACATACTCAGCGGACAGTCGTCGCCCGGCAGCTTGCAATCGGGACAGCAGCCATTGAAGGCCATACGGCAGATACCACATGTGTCCTCGGGATCGTCAGTCCATGACCATGACGCAACCGCATGCCACTGCTTTACCTTGACCTTCATTCCCACCACCCTCCTCTCGAGTGAGGTCTGCCCGAGCACGACCCCGAGCACAACCACAAGCACGTGGCCATCCGCAAAGCCTTGCATCTGAGCCACGTCGGACATCATTCGCCGACCATGGCACTGATCCAACCACCGCCAACAACAACGCCATCCGCTGCGCCTCGCTCTGCGGCAACACTGTCAGAGTCCGCCTCCTCCTCATCCTCGCCGACCATCACGTCGATCCGTCTGCCAAAGGCAATCTCGCCTCCATGTTGAGCTCGACGACCATGGCGCTGATCCAACCACCGCCAACAACAACGCCATCCGCTGCGCCTCGCTCTGTGGCAACACCGGCGTCATCGCCCATCTCCAAGCATCAGGCTGCTCCCTCGCATTGACTTAACAAGGGCGCCATCTGGTTGCTTGAACATTATCATCTCTTCGAAAAATCGTCGATTGGCAGTCTGCGAACACTGGCTGCCTTGCGCCACGTGCGGCGTTGCAGCCACCTCCTGCCGCCTCCTACACCATCCAGATCATCCCACGACAGCGTGCCCAGCCTATGTAATGGTTTACAAAGCTATGCTCCCTAACGCTGTTCCTTTGGCGTCGTTTGAGACGTGCCTGGCGCGATATCGGCGATGACGTATACCCACGTGCGCGGGCGGGTGAGAGAGAGCAGAGCGGGAGCGAGTGAGCAGCCAACAGCAGGCCCAAGGTCACCTCACGCTGGGCCAGCCGGTGCGGGTAACCAGACCGGGTTATGAACGGGGAAGAGAGTTCCGAGTACTCGCTGGTGTCCGACGAGCCGCCGGAAGTGCTTAGTCTCTCTGCAGACCGCTCAGAGAGCCCCCATGACCTCGCCCGCCATGCCCGTGACATGACCTGGGCCGAGGCGGCTGGCTCGCAGCCACCGACCGCCTCCTCGACCTCCCGTTCTGCCAAGGGCAATAGCGAGCGGTCAGAGCCAGGTACGACCACCCAAAGCTTCACCCGTCCTGGGCATGCTCCCAGCCACCCTCATGCTGCTTTGTCGGCGCTCAACTCGGCGCTGTCGTCCGCTACCCCCTACACGGCTTCAGCAGACGCCTCCGGGTCATCCAACGTCGGCCGCCTCGCTGACCACCAGTCCTCCGGCTCGTCGACGCCTCCGCCGGTCATCACTCTGGCCGAGACCTCGCCTGCGCGGGCAGTACCGGGGAGCAAGATGCGACGGTCTCGGAGGGGCGCCGGTGCAGATGGGCTGCTCTCTGTCCACTCGGGGGGCGCCAAGCGCAAGTTTGACCCCTGGGCGAGCGCCGCCACTCCGCCGCGGTCCCATGCCTTTGATGACGACGATGACGAGTCGTACTCGCTCTCGTCTGACCTCCTTGTCTCGCCGTATAGAGAACCGTCTCCGGCTGCGCATTTTGCTGCTTTGCGCCCGGCTGCGCTCTCCGTCGCTGGCGGCGTCCGCGCCCCGGACTCGTCATCATCGCCGCTGAGCTACTCGGCTACCCCTAGCGTCTCCAGCCCCGCAAGCGCCAAGAGCCTCGCCGCTCCTTTCGGCGCGAGTACGACCGGCGACGAAGATGATGAGTACACTATCTCCGACTCGGGCGATCCGCTTGGCGGCGGCGTCGGCCATATCTTTGACGACGACGGTTTGGGCTCCGGCTCCGACTCGGGCTCGGGCTCGGACGTCGAGCAAAAAGCGTACGGGCACTCGTTTGGCAGCTCCAACGCCGCCTACAATGACGAGATTGCCGAGTCGTCCGGCATGCGATCGGTACGCGGGCGGGTGGCGACGCCGCACCCGCGCGACGACGGCGCGTTCTCGTTTGACACTCGGGACACTTCGAGAGCGAGCAAGCTCCTGGAAGAGGCGCGGCATCCACGGCGCGGCGATGGTGCCCGCGACGTGCCGTCGCCGGAGGACGAGCTCGACTCGGACTCGGACGACGGCCCGCCGCTAGCGGCGTCGCCGGACGTCGACCCGGGCACACTTCTCGCGCTCATCAACGCCGACCTCGATGCCAACACCTACCGCAACTCGCAGCCGCCGGGCACGTCGTCATCGGAAGTCATCGACGACGAGGTCGACCCGGACGGGGTCCTCCGCGAAGCGCGGCGGTCGTCGACGGCGGGCAAGCGCGTGCTGTTTGGCAACAACTTTGTGCCCAAGACCCGGTGCGGCATCCTGCGTGCGCCCCGGACCCGCGCCGCGCACGCCGTGAGGACCTGCACCTTTAAGCAGAACGTCAAGATCGAGCTCCCGGACGAGTCGTACATCCGGCTCAACTGCCTCACTTCGACCACCGTCAAGCAAGTCATCGAGCTTGTGGCCGATCAGCTCGGTATTGTCCAGCGCGAGTACCTCGGCCTCCTCGAGTACTCGGTCCAGGGTTATGAGTGCTGGCTCAAGCCCGAGTCGTCGCTCCTGCGCCAGGTCAAGTTCGTCGTGCCATCGGTCAAGTTTATGTTCAAGCTCCACCCGCGGACTATTGACGAGCTCACCGACCCGCTCGCCATCCAGCTCCTCTACCACCAGACCCGGGCCAATCTCGTCTCGGGTCTCTACGACGCCGAACTGACAAAGTCGGTGGCGCTCGAGATGACGGCTAACGCGTTCCAGGCCACCTTTGGCGACCACGTCGAAGGCCTCCACATCCCTGGCTTCCTCACCCGCCCGGTCACGCTCTCGATGTTTCTCTCGCGCCACATCCTCCGCAAGTACCGCAATAAGGTGTGGCAAAAGCGTATCTTTGCTGTCCACCAGCTCCTCCGAGGCATGAGCAAGACCGAGGCCATGACTGCCTACCTCCGCCACGCCGCCGAGTCGATTCCCTCGTTTAGCATGGAGTATTTTCACGTTCACAACGCCACCAACAAGGCCGCCATCACCCTCTGTATCGGGCCCGAGTTCCTGGAGGTCTTCCGCAAGTCGCGCTCGCTTGGCACCCACTCGTACCGAGACATCTTCCGTGTCGTCCTCGAGTCGTGCGGTCGCGGGACCGCCAAGCGCTACCGTATCACCTTTAAGATCGGCATTGTTAACTCGCCGGACTTGCCAGACTCGGCCATTGCGCCGTTTATGGTGACAACCGACAACACCACCGACGCCGAGCTCATTCTCGCCCTTGTCCAGTCGTACACGCTGCTGTACAAGGCACGCGCCCGCTCGGGTGGCCGCTCGCGCACGAGCTCGCGCGCCAAGCGGACTCGCTTCTCGCGGGTCGCCTCGCACGACGCCATCGCCTCGGAGCTCGGCTCGCTTTACTCAACCGTCGGCTCGGGCCCGCCACCCGCCGACGCTCGCCC